AAAAAAAAAAAAAAAAAAAGACAATCTGATTAACAACAGTTTTCCCAAAATGTTTTATTTAACAACCTTTCAAATGTCAATGTATAATAGTTGACAACACTTTAACAACGTAACCATAAATTTCTCAAATGACAGTTCTCGCAACTGATTGCTTTAAAAAGCATAATTAGGCTACATTCAACTTCGTTCAACTGCAAAGAAGTAATAATGCTAAATACCGCATACATAAATTCACTTAATCAATTATAGTTTTGATAAAAAACAAAAATAAAGGAGAAAAAGAACAAGGAAAGGTTAAATGTTTATTGATAAAAGAGAAAAAAAAAAGAAACAAGACAAAGAATATGAAGACCTAAAACTTTGGGAAGAATATTTCAGATTTTCCATCAATTTCAAGTGTTAGTAAACTAAACTTCTTTAGCTTGACAACTTTCTGAAGAACACTTCGAAGATTGTCAACTGATCTTTCTTTGTAATCGTTTTCAACGTACGTGTACAGCACAACTACTTCCTGACCTCTCATTGAACCAGCAGACTGTTTGAAGTAACCTTTTGCTACATAAGATCCACAGAAGCCAAAACCGTCCACCAGTTCTCCTCCCAGGTGATGAATCTCGGTTGAAATATTCTCCCCAGATGACATAGCAATTGCTATTCGGCAAAAATTTGGTTTGAACGAGTTGCTTGTACTGCTAAAAAAAAAAAAAAAATAAGAAATTGATAGTGTTTGCTTTTACTGATAACGATGTCAATAATAATAATGTAAATTTGACTGAAGTAATAAAAAATTTTGAAAAAAGTTTATTTATCTGCAAATTGTCTGTAAAGTTTTTTTAGCTTTAAAATGAACTTTAAAGGTAGTAATAGGCAGATAATCGTAAATAATTTATTTGTATTTAACCAGTGATTTTAAGTGTAAATAAAAAAAAAGTTATTTTAGCAAGCATTTTATACTTTACGTCTGAAGTTAATTGACTTCAGTGTTTTATTAATAAATCAACGATTGCTCACTTACCTTTCAGGGCTTGGATGACTGTCGTAATGTAGTATTTTATCTAAAATATGATTACTTGTAACCACTGAATTCTGTTGTCACATTGATAATATTATTAAAAGTCTTATAACTTCTAAAATAATAATGAGTAATATTTAACAAGTGAAAAAATTTTGGAGTAACAGTAACTGGTGTTGAAACGAACATACCCAAGCTGAAACAGCTGACAGTTGCAGCAAAAAGAATCATAAGCTGAATGCCATAAAACCCAATAGACATTTTCGTAACTTGTGAGTAGTCCGAAGATGCTTCTAAATTTGACTATCATTAATTTTATAAAAAAACCTTTTATCGGTATAGTTTCTGTAAAAAACAAATAAAAACGAGTCGTACAATAGTTGAATAACTGGCTCAACTTAAAAAATCAGGCCTAATAGATAAAAATTACAAAATAAGAGAAATATATCAGTTATCTTTGCTTGGCAGTACTTTCTGAACAGAAACTCAATTTGCACGACAGAAAAAAGCAAAAATTGTGAATGCGTAAAATGAAGGAAAAAGCTGCTTTAAATACAGACCTGGTAACTAATTAATTCAGCTCTGCTGACCTTTAAACCTTTTTTCTGAAACACTTAAGGGTCAATAAAGATTTTTGACATTGGCGAAGAGGTACTTGAATAGGATAAAATGTTGCTGTTAACCTTTTGAGCCATACGATTGACCTTCTCTTCTTTGAGATTGACCTATTCTAATACACTTTTTACTGTTTTATTCAATATGCTGTTCAAACAATCAAAGCTGTTTCTATTCTCTTCAAACACTAACTAAGAACTGTTATGGTGCTTTCAAATGCTATAAAATAAATATTATAATTAGTGCAGCAGCATACCTTACCGTACCTCTGCAGTCTAATCGTGATTTTTTGGCTAAATTGTCGATGTTCTCACTTGGCTTTAGAAGTGCTGAAGATTGTCAGTAGACAGTAACGGTTTACTTATATATGAAGAATATATTTTGGCAAAAATTCGAACTGAACGTTTCAAAAAAATTTTTTGAAGCTTCAAGCAGGTTACAATTATTTGGGTTTCGTTTGCGAAAGAAGAAATGTTTTTTCGTATTATTGTCAGTGTGTTATTTAGATTTTATTCTTGATCCTGATGACATTATCCTTAATCTAGACAAAATACTGACTATAAAAAAGGTGCTGATGTTATCAAATGTTTCAGCTGTTTGAACATTTCTAGGGTTTTTCACTTATTAAGAAGAATTTATTTTTATGATTATACAATTTACTGCTTCAAAAAAAATTGTTCTACTTTACCAGTCTGCAAACTGCAAAAAAACATTTTAAAAAATAAAGGCTATTACAAATTCACTTCTTTTGCTAAATTATTTCGGATTAAATAGCAGATAGTTTTAGCAGCCAGCGTCTTAAATTTCTACGTTAAGGCAGTTTTTCTCATCTACTTCCGGAAAAAACAGCAAGAGTAATTGGTCACGCATTGATAGTTATTGGTTTTCGCGAAGCACAACTATCCGCAAGTAAAATATGACGTTAAGTATACTCCTTAGGGTAAAGAAATTTCATTTGTATTTTCAAGAGAAATATCTAGCGTATGTTATAAACTACCAAATATAACTTCAATTCTGTAGTTCAGAAAAGAAGTTCTAGCTTTAACAACAAGCTACCTACTACTTTAGATTTTATTTTTAGCGAAACACATGTTTCAGGCTTAGTATTTTACTAAAAAATAATTCGGATATGCTAATGCTCCTTTAGATACAAATGAGTTATTCTCAGAATACAATATGAGTCACAATTAGTTGCTAAAAACTCAACTATCTAATTATACAAATCATCAGAGTCGTTCTCAGTAATATCGAAAAAGTGAGCGAATGCTTCGATACTGAGTTTAATTTTCACTTCTTGCTGCCAATTAAATAAAGGATAGATGACAGTCTTAGGTTAGAAATTCCAAAACTAGTCTGCATTTTAAGAAAAGATCTAAAGTTCTTTTTACTGTAGCTGTAGTTCTTGAGGATCTCGTTGCTGTTGTTTCTAAAGCGCTGTGTAACAGATTTCTTATTATATCGCATTCGTCTTACCCAGTTACATTTAAAAAATACAGTCTGAGGCTTGACAGTTGTTCATATTAAACAGTGGTATATCAGATTGTCTTTGAAATGGTTTCTTAAGTGCCGACACTGCTAAAACAGTTGTAA